GCATGAGATCAGCCACATCTGAGATCAGAAATACTGCCCAGCAAACTACTCATGAGCTAAGTAAATGCTTTAAGCCACTAAGCTTGGGGTAGTTTGTTTCACAGCAAAAGCTAAGTGAGACACAACTCCGTTATATCGATGAAGAAACTGAGGCACAGAGATTAGTAACCTGCAGAGGTCCCACAGCTATTAAATGGTGAGCTGGAATTAAAAAGACAGTCTGGCTGCAGAGGCTAAACTTTAACGGTTGTCCCACAGCTGTCATTCTACAAGTTTCAAATGTTTCCCCACTCACCTACTTCCCTAAATGAGGTTAAGTACAGGGCATGAACTTACATGGCCCCATCAACGCACAACAGGCAACTTCCAGCACGGAACAATTCTCATTATTTTGCATGTATGCTGCCCTTCAGGTTTACAAAGCACTCTGCTCTCTTCTGACATGTTCCAACCATTTAAAAATAACAAGAGTTGCCCAAATGTCCATTTACAGATGAATGCATAAACAAAATATGGTCTATACATACAGTGGAATATTATTAGCCTTAAAAAGAAATGAAATTCTAACACCTGCTACAACATGGATAAACCTAGAAGACAGGATGCTAAATGAAATAAACCAGTCACAAGAAAGAAAAATACTGCAGGATTCCACTTATACGAGGTACACAGAGTAGTCAAATTCAGAGATGGAAAGTCTCTGGTGGTTGCCAAGGGCTGAGGGAAAGGGGAAATGGGGAGTTATTTAATGAGCACAGAGTTTCGGTTTGGCAAAATGAAAAAGTTCTGGAGATGGACGGTGGTGATGGTTGCACAACAATATGAATGTCATTAATGCTACTGAATCACACACTTTTAAATGGTATACCTTCCTACAGCTTACCACAATTTAAAAAAAAAGAAACAATTACAAGGGTTGGGACTGGCAGTGATAAAAATGACAGGCCCACAGGGCCACTGTTAGACCAGTTTGAACCCAGGGAGCAAAGTAAGCAAGAAACATTCAGGTTTCCTGAGTCACATAGGCGCTACCCCTTCATCAGAATGTCCCGGCCACCCACTGAAAAGTCAGATGGGCTGGCAGATATGTCAAAGCGACCTTAAAAATAAGCTCTCACTCAAGGACAAAAACCCTCAAATAAATCAAAGCCAGTTCCCTGCCCTCACCTCAGCCCAGAAAAAAAAGAAAAAAGAAAAAAAGCTTTCTTTTACCTCCTCTTGGCAGAATTTGGACTGGATTTTCAAAACCACAAGATTGGATCTGACTCATCAGTAGGAAAATAAGTTAATATCAGGTACAACAGTTAATGCAAATTTTTGATGGGCAGATAGAATTTCCACTGGCTTGACAATTTCAAATCTTTGTAAACTCTACAGATAAAGCCAAGCTATAGCAGAAGTCTTTCTCTTTGTAAGTCTCCACTGTTCCACTGACACATGGGCATTCCAGGAATATTATAAAACTACCACTACAGTAATGACTTAAAAAAAATAGATAAATATCAAATATCAACAGAAGGTATGGGAGCTCATTTTCTTCTTTTTGCCTATTTTTTAAATTTTCTATAACAAAATGTTTTTATAATGAGCTACAGCCTAAGCGCATGCAGGGATACCATTGTCAAACACATTGTCTCATTCAAGTCCTAAGGACGACCTCGTGAGGGCACCAAGGCCGATCTCATGACCATCACAGTTTCATAGATGAGGACGATGAGGCTCAGGGAACACAGTGCCTCCCAATACGCCCCTGAAGGAGATGCTTTGAAGGCATCTCTCAGAGGCCGTCCCTGCTCTACACAGTGAGAGTGGTTTATAAATACAGAAAGGAAGGGGGTGGAGTAAGACCAGAGGAAGAAAACAGGAAGCCTCACTTGGCAGCAGCTAGAGGTGGGCCCTACCCCCTCCACCATCAGGAAAGTCAGAGGACGCTGGTGCACAGACAGACTCTGCCACCTGGCCCAAGCCCAGATGGCCCCCATCCATGGAGATGAAATGTGATATCCGTGCCCAGCCTCAGCCTTTGAGTATCCTTCCAGTTCCTCAGCTACAGATCAACAAGGTCCCTTGAGGTTGGGGGGTAGGGGTCCCTCTGAGCCGTCTCTGCCCTTCTCCTTCCTGGCTCCCCTGCAAAAAGGCAGGAGTTTAAGGGGAGGGTTTACAGGCACAAAGCCGGGCAGAGTTCCCTCAACATTCATCTTGGGCTCTGCCAGTTGACGGTGAGACGGTTACCGGTCCCCAGGGTCTGGCTATTATCTGATTAGACTTGATGACTTAGTGGCTTGTCCTAATCATTGTCATGATCCTTGTGCTCACCGGCCAAGAGAAAGGATGAGGGGGGGAGCGATGCCCAGCAGCAGGACCCTCCCGACCCAGCTGTCTCCTACCTCTGTTCCCATCAAAGAGGACTGAGGTATGGAAAAGCACAGAGTGATCTGGATGTGTCACAGCCAATTGGGGACCCACCCACCAAATTAGATTTGAGTGAACCCAACCCAGACAAAGCCGGATTTGCCAGTCCTGTGCCTATCCTTCTGCTTACCTAGCTGGCGGTGATAAAATGACAGGCCCAGGGCCACTGTTAGACCGGTGGGGACAGGAAAGAAGTTGTGAGTAAAGGGGCAACGAAGAGAAAATGCTTGAAATGCCAAGGGCAGGCCGGGAGGCACAGCTGGTCCAAGGGGTGGCTTGCCGACCACATCATTCACTCATTGGTCCATTGTTTTGTTTACTCGGTGTTTGAACGCCTTCTGTATGCCGGCATTGCAGACATGCCAATGAACCAAACAGACCAAATTCCCCGTCTCTGTGGAGCTTCATTACCGTAAACAAACAACGATAACAAGTCAGATGGTGAGGAGTGCTACGGAGAAAAGGCCAATCACGGAAGAGCGCTGGGGGTTTTGGAGATGGAAGACTAAGAGTTATCATTGAATTGTTAGCCCAGGAAGCCCTCATTGATAAAGTAACATGTGAGCAGAAACCTAAAGGAGCTGAGGGAGTGGACCATGCAAATTCTGGGGTAAAGACAATGACAAACAGAGGGAAGAGCAGGTTCAAAGACAGAGGTGGGAGCACGTTCGACATCAGCACAGCCAAAGGGGGATATCACCCACCAGCTGGGCCTAGCACCCTGATAGGCCAACCTCCAGAGTCCCCTGACCACATAGATCCATTACCCAGCCCTGCCCACAAACCCAAGCCCAGGTGGGGAAGCCTGGGTAGGGAAGCCACTGCCGAAACTCCGAGGGGATGCTTTCACAGACCTCTCTTAACCCATCCCAAGGTGAGAGCACACGGGTGTTTTTAATAGATATATGTGGGCTCAAAAGAATCAGAGGACAATAAATTCAAGTGGTGAAGACTTTTAAAAATGGGGGTTTCATGGCCTCCTAGCTATTGATCCAATATTTAGATGATCAAAAATCTCTCCTCAAACCTAAACTGAACCCTTCATACTCCAAGTTTAGGTCAAGAATACTACTGCCTAACAGTACTATTACAGTGCGTGGGACACATTCCAACTTGGGGAGCACCTTTAAGACTAATGGGACAGGGCACTTTGGAGGAAGGATGCCCAGGGCTCTGGGGCTTGTGGGGACTGGTGAGTACATTTTGGAGAAGGGCTCTTCTCCCCAGAAAGCTAGAGGCCTGGGTGGGGCCCAGAGGAGCTGGAAAGGGGTGGGGGGCGGCTCAGGACTTGTTACAAGACCAATGAGTCACTGCCCTCTGATGTTGTGCAGCCCAGGTCCCCAGGCCAGGGAAGGAGAAAGGGTTTAAGGCAGCCATTCTGTCTAGAATGAAGTCAACATATCTGGCAGGTTCCAACCAAAAAGCTCTGCTCAGAATTCAGAGTACAAAAACCAAATACACAGCAAAGATTCAGTAAACAACCACAGCATCAAGGGGACCCCCCCAGGAAAGAAAATTGAGAGAAGCAGGGGACAGGGCAAAGAGGAGGAATGCTCAAGTCCTGGCCCCGTACGCTAGATGGCTCTGACCTCGGCATGTTCCTAGCTCTCTGGGGCTTCGTTTCCCAAGGTTTACATCTCCTCCCATTACACCCCCTCCCCTACAGTGTGCACACAGTAGGTGCTCAAATACCCACTGCTCACTAAACATTTCCTTATAAATGGAGCATTTTCCGTCACATAAACACACAATGGACATAAACTACAATCTAGACCAGCTGCTTAGGCCTGCTTTGGGTGGCGATTCATGCTGATGAGACACCAAGCAGAAAGCCCAGTGGGCTGAGGTGTGTGACTGTCCCCAGGCCTGTCACGCAGCAGACACCGGCTGTTAAATGTCAGGGCTCTTTTCCTTCCCTGTTCACAGGGCCTGGTCAGCAGAGCCTGAGAGGTGACACAAGCGCACAATGCATTAGAGTGGTGGCCATCCAAGGAAGACACACTCTGAAACCAGAACCAACGTCCACACGGCCCCAGCAATCGTCTGACCCCAGCTCCCCTCTGCTGCCCCTGTTCTGGTCTTGGGTCCTCAGTTGCCTATTTGGACTCTCAGGACAAAGAACCAATGTTTCAAGAGAAGCAAACAGCCAATTACTCCCAAACCAGGGAGGAGAATGCGAGGGAGGGAGTATTCCTCCTGTTGTCTGACAGGCAGTCATTAGGAGAGGGCAGAGAAAGGACTGTGGTGTTCTGGACACATCCTCTCGCTGGCCCAGCTGCCTGGGAAGTGGACCTGGACACCGGCGCTAGAGCAAAGTGGCACCCACTCACAGGGCCAGCCAAATGCCAGCACCCACACTCTATTAATAGCATCGAGAGCTGGAATGAAGGTAGACTGTGGGGCGGCGAGGGGGTGGGAATAAAAGGCTGACTTCAAATACAGCTGTTTAGAAAGTCATGGCCATTCCCTATCACACAGGACTTGTACTTCAAACCATCATGGGGAGATACAGAAGTCAGAAGGCGCATCCAAACACCGGTTGGGGTGGTGGACAGAGGCAGGGGAGAAGGTCTACAGGACTATCTTACCTGCCTCGCCACCCTCCGTGCCTCCCAGTAGGGCTTCGAGTCTTCCACGGCTTTGCCAATTTTCTTCACCAGTTCATCCAGTTTCACCGTTGCCTCAACCAGAACAGAGCGGAACTTCTGACGAGCATCCTGCAACCAGGAAATAGCAAGAAAACACAGTTCAGGCTTAAGAAGGAATCTATGAAAATCTGCCTGACCTAACCTGAAACACCAACGATGGACTTCACATAACCTACAGTCTCTTAAATTAATAATACCGTCACAAGACAGTGTCTACGGCAGCACCGGCCAAAGAACGGTGATGCTGGAAGCGTTCGATTATCTGCACTGTCTGGTACGGTAGCCACCAGCCACATGTGCCCTTGAAATTGCCTCGTGAGACTGAGGAAATGAGTTTTATTTATTGGGTTATCGGGAAAGTCATGACGCATTTTTGCAACGAAAAACATAGAAAAAATACGTCATGACTTTTCCGACAACCCAGTGATTTAAATTAAATATATTTCAATAAAAAAATACTTGTGGCTGGTGACAGCACAATTGGACAGTGCAGGTTAGGTTACAAAGCTCTATCCAGATCCTCAAGGGAAGATATCCAGTCGGGCCGCCCCAGCAGCTTCGGTCCACAATGATGGCACTGGTCCCTACACGCCCATGAACTCCTCAACCATATGACACGGTCACCATTAAACACTGAGTGCAGTTTCCCACACGCCAGACCCTTGGGTTGGGCTTTCGGCTTGCTCCCTGCCTTCACGGCACTTCCAGTCTGGTGGGTAAGTCAGGTATTTACAGCCCATTCCAGAAAAGTCTGGGAGAGGATGGTAATGGTACAAGGGCCATGGGATCCAGCAGTGGTGAACCCAGCACTAGGCCAGATAAGAGGGGAGATTGTTTATTGGGAGACTCATGGAAAAGTTTCTGAAGGGGGAATATCTACACAGAAACCTCCGGGCACTTGGGGGAGGGAGAGGAAATACTGAGTCCCAAGCCAGCAGGAGAGCCCTGGCCAGAGGGGAGAGGGAGTGGCATGGTGTTTTCCAGAAAGGGAAGGAAGCTACAAGTCTGGAATGTGGAGAATGGCAACAGATAAGGGTGGCCACCCATCCTGTAGACAGCCACTATCAACTTGGGCCTCAGTAAGAGTTTGGGAGGGAGGAACGGCCAGGTGGAGCATGCCAGGCTTAACCCCATGGTGCAAGTCCAGAAACCAGACCCACAGACATCACAAGGAGGGAAAAAATTAAAAAGAGGAAATTTAGTCCTATGTCCAGGACATATCGGAGATTCAGGTCAGTACCTCACAGACCCCACATCCCCCCTATTCCTTTTTCCGTTGATAGTTGCCTGACACAGCCACACCTTGGGTGAGTGGGTGGGTGAGTGAGGGTGTGAGTGTGCTTATGTGCACGTGTTTAAGAAAGGGGAACTGGATACTCAGAGAAGAAGGAACAATATGTGAGCACCAGCCATGGAGCTGTCCCAAGACCAAACAGCCACCGTACTGGTAAGACATGTGTGGTTCCATTGGCTGCCTGAAAACTACCTGAAAACTATTTCTAAACATCAAATTGTAGGGGCCTCTTGGGCCAATGCGATGGCTCATGGAGGTGAAGGAGGCTCCGATCACTTCTAATTTCATTCCTCTCTGTCATGTCATGCCTGACACTTCTGACACAGGCCATGGTCCCTTCCCCCAGCCCTGTGTCATCACCTCCTGCATGTTCCCTGCCTTCTCTCGAGACTATCTGGCTAGGCTTGGCGTCACCTGCTCCAGCTTCTGAAGACAGAAACAAGACTAGCCCCGTTCTCCAGGGAAGTGCTTTCAGTGCGTCAGGGCAGCCCGAGGGCCTGCAAAGCCCCCCGAGCTTCTGTTGGGCTTGACATCCAGCATGTGGGAGGTAGCTGGTGTCTAAAGCCTGGGGTTTCTATCAGAGACGGATCCAATCCTGGCTAAACCTCTTTCTATGAGGCCCTCATCAGGGTAACTTCTTTACGAATCATTTTTATTACCTGTAAAATACTTTGCATGTCACAGGAAGGGCTGCTAGAAGGAATACAGCAGAATGCAAATGTAAAACACCTAACAATTCTTGGGCACAAGTAGCTGCTCCATAAATATACACAATTTTTTCCCTGGCAGGAAAAGAGACCCATGGTCATATTAAAAAACACCAAGGGGGGGTGGGGTCTCTCTGGGGAAGGGGTAGCTGACATGAAAACATAATAACCCGTTACAGTGTATAGGCAGCTGCTTTGCAAATGTGCTCATGCACTTGTGACCAAAGCTTTGCAGTCACTACCCTG